AAAAAAAAAAAGAGAAAACTGGGCCTTTGCTGGTTTTAGTCGCCGTGCAAAATAAAAGTCAGTGTTTCATTGAAGACTCTTTTTTTCCCCCCAGTTTTTACTCAATTTGGTGAAAAAAAACTTCATCTAAGAACCACCTACATGCAGGAAAACTGTAATTTTCCACAATGAAAGTGTAGATTCTGTGTTAGTCGTGATCACATAAAGGTCGATGTTGCTTTTTTAATTTAATCTTGGAAACGTACGATAAAAATCCGCCGCTGTGTCTCACCTTTACTCGATTAAAAGACAACACGTTAGTTTTACATCAACATCACCCGCGATCTGATGGAATCCTACCTGCTGCTATTAAACGAGGGTTAGAGCCTGAGAAAATACCTGGCGTCAGATGTGAGGAGAGTGTGTCACGGTGGGCGAGTTACGGAGGTTATCGAGCATCCACCTCGCGTTTCAGATGTGAGGAGAAATAACGAGTCGTCTTTCTGGTTAGACGCGATGATTATTTTCTTACCGTTGCCTGCGACGGCCTGGGCCTCGATTTCATTAGCTTTCCTCTTGGCCACATCCGCTAGCACCACCTCGCCCTTATCACCGGCAACATAATGGAGGTCCTTTGAAGGTAATGCAAGAAAGAAAGAAACATGAACGTTAATCTAAAATGAATCTAGGCTCAGATGACAATAGGGCTTTTTTTTTTTTTTTTTGAGGGGTGGGGGGCGGTATTTTGGCGGGAGAAGGAAGAAACAGATGAAATGACAGAAAGAAAAAAAAATGAGCCGTTTGAAGCCCGACATCAGAAAGAGCACCGGTTTGGATGAAATGCCGGTTCCTCAAAAAACTTTGAAATCAGCCTGCTTTCGCCCCGCAAACCCCCCACCCACCTATCCACACTCACTAACACACACACACACACACACACACACATCTCTCTGGTTTTTGAACTAAGGAGGATGTTATCTGTCGCATTTCAAAAGTGGGAGAGGAGACGAGGGACTGTTCACCTTTCAGAAACGCTGGTATTCTCTCTTTACGGAGAAACATATCCAGCCGAGCATATTACTATATCAGCCTGCAACAATATTGGAAACAGCGTGTATCCTCTGTGTCTCTCTGTTTGAGTCTCACACGGCCATAAAGACAGATATTATGGTTAAATGATGTCTGAGGGTGGCTGATTTAAGGCTCTCGGCGGCCGTATACTCATTAATAACATCAGACATCTGCTCCTGTTTTAAGGTGCTGAACACTCGATCAGCTCGTCTTCTATTTAAATTGCTGAAAAACACAAACAAGTATGAACAAATTTTGTTTTGTTAATGGAAATATTTTCCCTACGATTGTCAATGGTAGAAGAACAGCTTCAAAGCATTAAAGGACGTTATTATCAGTGATCCCCAGAGCATCGTGTTGGGTCGTGTTTTCTCATTTTGTTTTGTCAAATTGATGAGAATGCTCTCTGAATTTTCCTGTGTGTTCTTAAACTTCTTAAATAAACACATTCAAAGCAAAAGCAGCACAACGATCAGCATTTAGCCAGTAGGTAGCAGACGGTTACGGACGTGGCACAGCTTTGCTCAATAAAATTAACTTAAAACAACAAGAGCACATGCTGGAAGGAAACTATATGTTGAATGAATTCAGGATAAAATCCAGACTATGCTGAATCAATGACCATCGATAGACGTGCATTTTTGTCTTAATGGTAAACGTGAAGGGTCTGGTTTGCTCTTTTGTGCCCCCAGTGTAATAAAGTGTCTCGTAAAAAGATTTTGAATGCTGTGTTGCTTTAGCTGCTGCAGTGGAGCCCATCAGTGAAGTCTGTGACAGAACCAGGCAGGTTGGTGTGAATGTGTGAAGCAGGATGGTGCTGAAAGAACCAAATATGCATGTTTATATGTGTACGTTGCATTTATCACATACTGTCCATACTGTTCATACGGCCATTATCTCCTGACTGGACAGTACATTTATCCAGCTTTATATTGTTATATATCTACAGCGATTCTCTTTATAGACTTAGTGTGTTTATATCACTCAGTCCATACTCTGTATACTCAGACTGTTCATGATGCACTTTGCTGCTCTTCTGCATTTCAGGTTGGATGCAGCCTTGTGTTGCTACGATACGTGTGTTGTGACAATAAAGTTGAATCTAATCTAATACTGGCATTAGTAGATGTGTGCTGAGAAAAATCCAAAGCATGCTTCGTTAGAATTGCAAAATTTCTCGACCTCTTAAATTGATTGTATCATGAATGAATCAAACCCTCATCCTGCAGCCCAACGAGGGGCTTCTCAGGGTCGCAGGGTTTCCCCGGGCTGATTGCAGGGCCTGAGGGCCCATCAAAGGGTACAGCGTGTTAAGGAAAGTCTTCCGCCTCAGCGACATCACAGGACATCACTGCCGTGACTCAGGGCTCGCCATGGATAACCCTCAGCTGGCTAAAGCCAGCCCCCAGCTGAGTCTGCACCCGGCCCTAATACCCCCATATTGTAACCCAGCTTTTGTACCCCCAGAGGAAAAAAAAGAGGGGGGTGCTGATTTCCAAAAGAGGTGGGAAGCAGGGAGGGATTGAGGCAGACAGAGAGGGAGAGTAAAGGAGAATGAGAGAGAGAGGTGCTGAAATTGAGGAGTATGAATGGGAACAGATTGGGTAATTATAGTGTGGTGCCTGCCCTCTGTGGCGAAGAGTTAGGAGGAAATGTGAAAATGGCCGACAACAAAATGGCCTCAAAAGAACCTAAATCGGCTCCCAGGACTGAGGTGGCTAATTCAGCCCCTGTGAACGAGGACATGGCCCCTCAATTAGATATGAGTGAGGCTTCTTAATTGATAACAAACAGAGCAGCGCAAGATTAAACAGGCGAGGAGGAGAGGAGGCAGTACAGTGAAATGATAATGAGGAGAGCGAGTGAGGAAGGAAAAGAAAGAAGAGTACAGACGGAGGGAGACAGAACAAGACATAAAAGACCTGAGGAAGGCAAAATTCACTACAAGGAGGAGAGAGAGGGAGACACTGAGAGAGAGAGATTGTATGACAGACAGAACAGAACAATATGAACATTTGATGCCGGGGCGTTTTATTCCAGCTTAGCTCCTCATAATACTGTCTGAATCTGGAGAAAGAGACCAAGAGAAAGAATACACGACTGAACAAATGTGAAACGAGAGAGAGACAAACTGGGAGCTAGGGAGAGAGAGAGAGAGAGAGAGAGGAGTATCAACCCGACTAAGAAGGGATAACAATAATACTGCATATAAAACCATCAGATATTACACCTCTTATTCCCTGACGCTCAAACGCGACACTAATCTTATTTATATAAGAGCTTTAGGGGTTGCAGCGAGCCAGCTAACCGCGCTGATAAAGAGGGGCGTTTTAGTGGGCCATTTTTGGGGAGTAGAGGGGAGGGAGGTGGTGGACGCTAAGAGCCCGATATTGACTGATATTTGGGTTACCTCCAAATAAATGAGGGATTAGGTTAACTGGCACAGCAGCGCTTACAGCACATTAACAGACGGTGCCTGTATGTTTGCAGTCTGACGTGGCGGCTGTGGATATTCCTGTCAAACAGGACCGATGGGAAACACGTATGTGAACATACAGTGTGGACTGTTTTTTTTTTTTTTTTTTAAAGCATTAACTGCACACAAAAGATTATTACAGAGGGATAAAAGTATAATCTCAGTGTCTTATGGATGCAGGCCATGCACACAGAATGAAAGACCTTTAGTGCATGTAATCCTGGGAAAGACATTTGCAGACTGTAATGCTTAATTATTCAGTGTTTTTTCTGACACAGTCCAAGTGTTCTGATTATTGTTGGTGACTTTGGTGTATATATGCCACATTTCAAACAATGCACTTCCCAGAGAATGAGAAACAACTTGTTGAATTTGGTGAGGAGAGGTTTGGCTGCAGAGAGAAACGGGAACATTGGAGTGATAGAAACTACAAAACAGTCCAGATTTCTTATCACATCTCTGCATGTTTATCTGTTATTACTATATTTACTGAACCCCTTTCAAAGCTTTATTTTGTACAAGCAAACTCAGAAGGGAAACATGGACAATGCAGTACTTTAAAAACATACCTAACTGGGTATATTGCAGTTTTAAATAAAGGTCAGCTGTTTAACTGAGAGCTAACAATAAACTCCAACATTCAAGCTAAACAATAAACTGCACTTTGAGTTCTTGTGGCTAGTAAATAGTTTTAAGGTGCATTTTTCCAGTGATAAACATACATTCAGATCAAATGCTGACAAGGAGATTGAAAAAAAGATTTCACACGGGCACAACAAAAGTGCAATGTTCACAAATGCGTATAGGCGTAATCCCTGGACATGAGCGCGCTTGTTTCTCACACACTTGTTATCCAGGAGTCTTGTGTTTGACTTCTATCAGATAGGTGTTAAGGACTTAGCGTTTTAATAGCGCTAATTACTCATCTGAGCGACAACAATGAGCTTATTGCCAAAGACGTGCCATACCTCCTCCTCCTCCTCCTCCTCCTCCTGCAGCAACGCCAAAACCCGGCGTCAGATAGGAGAGGAAGATAGGGGCTGAACCCAGCAGACGCCGCTCGCCTTACTGCTAAGCGTATCTAACAAGAAACAGTACAAGCCCTCATTGGGGAACAAAAGAGTCGGCATCAGATTCGGCTATCACACAATTTGATTTAATTAACAAGCTACATCAAGAACCAAAGACCCAGGAAGAGGAGGAAGAAGAAGAAGAAGAAGAGGGAAAAAAGGGGGAGGAGGGAGGTGAAGAAAAAAAAAAAACTTGTTGTTGGCTTGACTTGGCTGACGAATGACCTAATTGGTTGCATTATCAACTCATTATCAAAGGCTAATTAGGGAGCTACAGAACAATTATGGGGGGGAAAAAAATGCAGTAACCCTCTGCTAACTAACTCTACATTCACCCCCACCAACCTCCACCTCCGCCAAAACACCCCCCCGCCACCAAGTCCTCCTCCCCCTCAATTTAGCCCGACACTAAAGTGTTTCATTTTAACAAAAGGTTTCTCTTTTTGTGGGGAGAAAAAAAAAAAAAAAAAAGGCTTGGAGGGCCTCTATTGTTAGCTGGGAAACAATGGGGCCTGCCGGGGGTGCGCTGATAGAGGAGGGGGTGCATCATGCTGAGCGCTGCTAAAAGAGGTGAGGGCGTGCGTGTTATCTGTGTGTGTGCGTGCATTTTATCTAGTCGACGGTGCGTTATTGAGTTCTGTTTGGAAGTTAGAAAGAGTTGAAGAGAAGGCGGGGGTCGCCCTCATTAACCCCCTCCACCTCAACTCAATCAGCCGACCAGCGGGTTAAAGCAACAACACAACCTAATTAGACCGGAGGACAGAGCCAGGGGTGAGATGTCAACGTCCTCTATTCCCTTCCCTTCTCTCTCCGTTTCGCCTCTTTTCAGGAGACGAGGAGTTGCTGCTCTCTTGGTCGCTGAGGCAAGAAAACGCTTGAAAAAGCTCGTTGTGGCTGAGAATTAACTTGGTTACAGATCTGAGATGACGAGCGTCGGCGGTTATCTGAACCAGGTGCTACTTCTGCCTCTTGAGCTCGTTTGTATAAAAAGTAAAAGTCAAATGATTGATTAAATGTGTGCAAATATCAACTCTGCACGTTTGATTTAAAACAAGCAATAAAAAAAAGCTTCTGACTGGTCAGGTGTCGCATCAGAGACAAACTCTGGAGTTCTCAAACAAGTGAAATGGACGAGTGAAGCGGCTCCATAATTGGAGATGTTTCGTCGTTGTGGTCGTGTAGCTCCAGGAGCCACTGGACGGTGACGTACCACTGCTGGATAACATCACACAATCTGGAGTCAAAGGGTCACGTTCTCTAAGTTCCAGCGGTCTGAATCATTCCTGTGACTGAACCTGCTTTTTTTTTAAGTGTAAAACTGCGACTGAATAATCACACCAATCATCAGTCTGGTGATTGTTAGTCTAATGTGCCTGTTGTGTCTCACACAAAAGTATCTTCAAATAATTATGACAGCGGTTAAAAGTTGTAAATCTACATAAATTGGTTTGATTTTAGATTTTAATGTCTTTCTTGTGGTCATCGACTTGCATGAAAAAAGTGTTACTGAAAACAAATTTTATTGTTTCAGAAAAAAATGCTTCATGAATAAAAAATGTTTGGGTGTTTAGGTCAGCACATTGCAGGAGGATTTTCAAAGTATAGCACATGTTAGGGGCTGACTGGTTATTGGTCCTGACTAGTTATCAGATCAAACTTTCAGCATTTTTCCGATAATAGGTATTGCTATTTTAAAAACAACAACAACAAAAAATATTCCTAATAAATACGTTAATTTAAAAATGTCATTCCACATCAAATCATCACATTTTTTGAGTTTATCTAGCTTAAGATAAAGATGTTTATAAAGATATCAGAGAAATGTTCGCTTTATATATATCAAATACAGAATCTGCTAAATTGGACAAGTAGATTAAACTCAAAAATGAAAAATATACTCTTATTAAAATAACGTTTTGTTAGATATATTTGGAGACACATTTGACTACATGGATCCCCCTATCCAGTGATAATCTTATTGCTGTGGTGTAACCTGTCATACTTGCTCAATCAGCTGTTAAAGTTCAACAAAAATAACTTTTGTCCCACTTTTGCGACCGTGTCTTTCAAATCATAAAGTCTTCTACATGTGTTGGTTTGTATTATTGTAACACGCAGCTACATATGGTTCACTAGTTGACTTCTGCGTTATTTATTATTTTGTTAACGTGAGCTTAAATATGAAACTTATCACGACTGTTTCAGTTTTTTCACCTAGAATCAGAAATGTATTGATCTATTTATCCAGTTTTGTAGATTCTGGATCAATGACATGAAGAGAAAAAACTTTTATCTGTAATCTTTAAACAGCCTTAAATTCACTGTGCAATGAGCAAGTAAAATAAAATAAAAATCTCAGAAAGTAATTGATATGTCAAGCTTAAATTTCACAGATACTATTAGTTTATAGTAAAAACGTTTTAAACAAATCAGAGATGACTGAACAGAAGGCCCCTGATGATTCGATATGGAATAACCCATATGGACTACTCATGCTCTGATGCAGATCTAAAGTAATGTCCCACCTACAGCACCATCTGATTAATTACACATCACGAGTAATGACACTGAAAGAGAAATGCTGAGAAGTTTCTATAATTAAGCATAAATAAAAAATAAATAAACAAAAGCATTTCAACAAAGTTTTGTGTTGGAGTTCCAAACATCACTTATTGGTCTCCTTGGTTACTAATCATCAGTCTGAGAAGGCCATCCTGACTGACCCCTAATACATGTGGCTCATACGTAGCACTATGGGAATAATGACTGTAGCTGGTTCGTTCTTGTGGCTCCTGACGTAGCCGACTCCACCCATCAGAGCTGATTCAGATCCTGCTCTGAGCAACATTTGACTTCCATCGTGACAGGGCAGGACTTTGTTTTTCCTCTCCCCCACCTTTTCTTTTTTCTTTTGCATTTATCATTTAGCTTTCCATCTACACCACCTACCCCCTCCTCTCCTCGCTGCTCCCCCTCCTCCTCCTTCCTTTGCACTCTTTCAAGGTTCACAGGCTCGACTCCACCTTTTCAATTCGGCTTCCCAGCAGCACTACTTAGTGGGGAGGGAATTGGAACCAGTGCTATCAGTGTGATTGAGGGACCAGTAGGAGTGTGTGTGTGTGTGTGTGTGTATCCGGGTCTGTATTAATGTCTGGGGTGTTGGTGAAGCATGGAGCCAAAGGGGGCCCCATGAAAAAAAAAAAAGAAAAAAAGGGGGTCGGACACATAGAGGAGCATTTCAGCGTAGAGTGGAGGAAAGATGAGAGGAGTGGAGAAGGCCGAGGCGAGGCCGTGGAGGTTGTGAAAAGATGGAGGCCCAGAGCGACATCACACCTGCTCCGGGCTACGAGTGACACGACTGCAACAGAACAATTACAACAGGTTTCTGAGCACTAAAGAAGCTGCAGTAAACGTCCATAAATGCTCCTTATAATGAGTTTAATGTAACCCTCTAGAGTCCATCTAACTACTGAGTAAGAAACTAAATATGCTTTTTTGTTTTCTTCTTTACTCAAAGGGTTGATGTAGGACTCTTTGCTCATAAACAAACTACACCAAAGTTTCAGTCCTTCCATGTCACGGCTGCATTTCTGCATATAATAGTAATAATATAATAATAAATAGTAAGATAATAGTAGTTCTTGTTTTTTACAACCTATGAAGGATGTTTTAAAGTATTTGAGCGACTATGAGGATAAAGTTGTCAATGTTTATGTGAGCTTGTCTAAGTTTTCATCTACTTTTTGCAGGTTTAAATCTGACCAAGTAAAAAAAAATCATATGAAGAAGAGACACCAGGCATGTGGGTGATCCTATTCTATAAAATAGAAACACTGACTTTTTTGATTAATGTTGTAAGAACCGCTAGATGTCATTAAACTGTTCCAACAAGAGCTCAGGAGTCAGTAGTTGAGACACAAACATTAAAACTGCACCACATTTGTTTCATGCTGCATCATTCCCTCTTCTTCCATTTTCACTTTCAACTGCTGCAATGAAGAAAAACATGCCAAAAAAATAATATTCAGTAAAAGAATACACTTGGTTATACTTATCTTCAAAACCTACAGAGTGTTCGTAAGTGCAAACCTCCAGGAAATTTGTACAGTTGCCTATAAAAGAAGTTTCCATACCTCCCCTCCCTTACCTGCCTGTGGTCACCTGTTGTGTGTTTTACAGATGCAGCTCATGTGTATTGCTTGTTTGCAATCCTTGACTTTTTGGACACTCTAATGAGGTGTAGATTTAAGTTTTAGATGGGCAAAGCTGCCATTTTTGGCCCCACAATCTAGAATAAATAATCTATAATGACCACCTAAAACAAAATTAGAATCAGCAACTGATATCTCTTGTTAGGTGTAGTTTGTTAAGCGTGGACTGATTAGCAAATATTTTATCCATTTAAAATGACATCTAAAGAACTGATGGTGCAGTTTGTGAAATATCTCATGATTTAAATGCACTTTTTCAACTATTTTGTTAGGTCGTTTGTGTTCACAACATCATACATTTGGAGATGAACTGACTTAAAAACAGCCATTAAAGGGTTTTATTACCAGCAACCTTTGGGTCACATTTTGTTTTTCAGGATGTTTTCTTCTGACTCACCATGAACAGATCTCTGTCTTCTAAATCTACCGCGAGGAGGAAGGCCTTCTCAAAACGCTGGTGCCTGCAAAGACAATGGAGATGATAATCAATCTACATGCTTTGGATGACAAACGATAGAGGAATAAGTCTGTGCTACTATTTCCTGCTTTCTCTGGTGTGCACACAGACACGTTCCTCCGTCCGCAGACGTACACTTCTGCGTACAACACTGTCAATAATTGAACTGAGAATAGCGAGCTCTTTTCCTATTATCCAGAATTAAAGCTGGGAGAGAGAGAGCTGTATCTCCCAGTACAAAACACCTCAACTTTCCCTGTCTACAGCCAACATGAAACAAACAAACACAAGCGGAGAGAGGAGGTGTGAGGGAGTGTGAGGGGGGGGAGGCTTCCTTCATTTGATGTTGATGGAGAGAAAAAGAATGCAGGTAGGTGATAAGAGAGGAGAGGAGGAGGGATGCCAAACAACGCTCCAGCTCTGCTACAGAGGAGGAAAGAGGAAGAGAGGGAAAAGGGAGGTAATTGCAGGATGGAGAGCAGCGAGCGGCAGTGTGTGGGAACAACAGGGTCTATTTCAGTCAAACAGGCGTTTCAAAAGGCTCTCATGGCAGAAGGGAGAAAGAAACAACAGTCTAAACAGGTGCATGTGTGGCGCTTCGCCTTATGAATGACTCAAAGCTGCGTCGCTACGTGAGAGAGTGTGATGAAATCCAAAAGCTATTTCCTTTTTAGAATTTTTTAAAATAGCAACAGCAAACAAGCGGCATTAATTTGACGTCAAATTCTGAAAGACGTTTTTTGGACAGTGCCTCTTATTCTGATTCTCCACCCTGAGCGTTCCGCTAATGCCTTAAAAACAGTCAGTGGATGTGAGGAGTTACGTGACCACCAGCAGCAGATCTGTAGCCTGACAGAGGAACTTGTCTTAACACTTGTACTGTTTAGATATTGTTTAATTCCAGAAGTGCTCCTGAAAAGCCGACCTTGACCCCCCTGGAGGACGCGCACAGTCAAATTTCTCCCTCAGTGCAGCAAATTAAGACCACGTCAACAGCACGGGGTGGGTGGTGTTACCTGAGGAGGTGGTGAAAAAAGCGGCGGGCATATTTGCTGATTGGCTCCCTGTACTCCAGTATCACTGTATCAGAGAGAGGGGCAGGTGGGGCATAAAACACACCCAGAGCTGCCTCTAGCTGGGCTGCAGACACAACAGAAGCACACGCAGTCAAATTAACAAATACAAACGGCATTCACAAGGTTTTAGCAGATACAAACAATTCAGCCGAGCGTATTTTCTGTTTATTTTTTTTACAGAAAATGTAGTTAGCACGGGTAAATCTGCTGCCTTTTTGCATATTAGTGAGCTTTTTGTTATATATTCTGTTTTCCAGAAACTAAACTTTAATTCACAAAGTGCCAATTAAAAAGAACATTTACCAGAAAATGAACGCTAAATAAAAATCTAACTTCAATCGAGGCCAACAGGTTTGGTTGCAAGACTCAAACCCCTAAGGCTAACATGAGTCATGAATTCTGAAGAACGAGTATTTTAATTAGCTTATACAACGCTAGCTGCAAACGATGTGACCCACCCTCTCTGTCTGCGTTGAGCTCCAGCCTCAGCAGGTGGTTGGTGACCGAGCCCAGGCCTCGGTAGCACTCCTCCCCCGTGGTGCTCCAGTCCATGGCCTCCAGGACGCCCAGAGCCTCCCTGACCTGACCGCAGCGCAGTCTCTGCTGCAGCAGCTCCCCCAGACCCATCTGGCCCCCAGTAAGAGCTCCTGCAACATACAGTCGGGGTTTGGGTAGAGCTTGTTATTAAATGGAATAATAATGCATTTAAAAAAGGACGCAAAAAACAAAATGAAGCGCTGAATGTATGGTTTGACTGAATTATCAAACATTTACTGTATATATTAGGTCCTCCTGTGTGGTTTTGTCACTGTAAAACACAGTTAATTAAGTAAATTACAAAGACTAAGAGCATTATCTACACTGTAAAAAATGAAAGAACAGTTTTTACCTGTAATGTTTTAAACAGTGTACTGTTACTTTACTCATTTTCTCAGGTTCATTAAATGATAGACGACAACCAGTAAAATCACATAAAAAAGTACATTTTTTTAATGTTAATTGTGAAAAAAACAAATCAAAACTGTGCCCAGACATTTTTTTTTGTATCTTTAGAAATGGGAATTCTTTCTTTTACAATATTTGACCATAAAATCGTCCAACAGCCCAAAACTGAGCATAACGTCCACGTCAAAAATCTGCATTTTCACAAACAGCAACTTGTTGTTGTAGTGTGACAGTAAAATGACAGTTCTGCTGTGTTTAAAACTGCTTAAAAAAATCCAAATTTCAGATATTTGTCACTATTTTTCGTTGCTTTTAGTTTATATATGTTGTTGTTGTTGTAGTTTTGGAACTTTGCAGTACTCAACAGTTTATTACATATTTTTTCTGGCACCTTTGCTGCCTGATGTTTGGATTTTTACTTCTTTTTTTTTACTTTAATTTTTTTTAACAGTGTAACATTAATTTAGACTTTTCTGTTATTCTTATTAATTTTTTATTTCTTATTATTATTCCAAAAACAATACACAGCAAAAAAAAAGGAGAACTTTGTCATCTTCATCAACAAAAGGAGGAACAAAAAGACAATTTGAGATTTAAATTTCTATCCAACTTTAAAACAAATCTGGTAGAATTGTTTCAGGTTTTGTCCGTCCATCCATGTCACAACCTATCACTAACATCTCTTATGTGTTTTTAAAATTTCACTTTTATCATTTTTTAAACTGTTTTACTGTCCTCACTGTACTGTAATGCCTTTTTGGTGTATTTTTCTAACAGATGTCAAGGTTTGGATGATAGAGCAGTGACCTCATCGTCTCACAAATGTTTAAATATTCAAAAATTGCAACCACAGCTCTTGATATTTTCCTTCATATATGTTAAAAAAGGAGAATTCTCTTCAGGCACTTGGTTGAGCATGCAGAATAACCCGGAGCACTTACTGAACTTAAGTGAGTGTCCAGTGGATCAGTTTAAACTCCGAGGCAGCACTAGATTAGTTAGACTGGCATTGACTTGTCAATCAATTAGCCGAGTCCGTTCAATCCTCGGTGTGCACTTTGTGTGTCAGCGTCTGTGTGTAAATGCAAAATAAAAACAAGCTTCTCCTCATCAGCATCTATTTACATACGCTGGGAAAACACCGAGCAGACCGTATGTCTTCTTATCTTGAAGTAATTTGCCTAAATATTATTCAGATATACAGTATATGTAGCGGAGGCGGGCGATCTTCTGCGACACCTGAGGTCATCTGAGCGACGCTACAGCTGATTATGCCTTCTGACCACAGGTGACTGATGGTGCTTTTGTTGGCGTGTGCGTGTGAGCAGATTAGGACGCTGAATAATGGAAGGACGAGGTTTTGTGGCCTTCCCGGTAGTAGAGGTGTCTTGTTCTGTGAGTAAAAGGGCAAAGGAAGCGTTTGTGACTTTACAGAGTGGCTCATACGGGAAGTGCAGGTGTTGGATGCCAGTGGTAATTATGGTCTATTGTGGCTTAAACACAAAGATGCATAGAACAACACGTGGAGGAATCTCAGACTTGTTTTGGGCAGGGCTGATGTATGCTAAACTCAAACTGCTAGTTGCCATGACTGAAGACTATGTTGATGGGCGTGTCCAGGCTGTAAATTCAACCTTTGGATATACCTGTACATTGACTATCGATCGATCTCATTACAATGCACTGTTCTGATGGGAAACCTTGCTAACTAGCATTCATGTGGATGCTACCTAGACACAACCCATCCACATGCAGGCTGTTGCAAACTAATCACACCCCCCACATGGCAACTCCTAAATTGCAGCAGCTTCCCCCAGCAGGACAATGTACCGAGCCTCGCCGCAAAAATCTACTCAGGAGTGTTTTAAGGAACTTGACAAAGAGCCCAAAGTGCTAACGTGGCCTCCAAAGTCCCCAGATCTCAATCCGATCAAGCAGCTGCGAGATGTGCCGGAACAAGCCCAATCCACGGAGCTGCATCTCACGTCCATTCCCAGATCAGATCAGAGCCTTTTCTGCCTGCAGGTGGTTTTAATGTTGTGGCCGATCGGTGTATAATATTCTTCGGTGATGTAGTTAAGCCTGTGTGTTTCCTAAACGAACTGTGGACATGGCTAGTGGCACAGCTCTGCACAGTGTAGGTGATCCCTGACAGCAGTCCTGTCGGTAGGGCCAGACTGCAGGCAGGCAAAGTCACTACTGACTCTTGTCTAATTAATTGAAGAAGTTGTGTGTCTATCTGTGTGTGTGTGTGTGTGTGTGTGTGTGTGTGTGTGTGGGTGGGGTGGGGGGTTGGTGGTGGTACGAGCAATTAAAATGACAAGCTGGCAATTAGCAAACCCCCAAATCCCCTAAAGAGTGGGCTAATGTGGCTAATACATCAGCTGAGTGGCTCGTGTGTGTGTGTGTGTGTGTGTGTTTTTTTTGGGTACTGTATGTGTGTCGCTGTGCGTAGGAGTCTTTGAGTTGGGCGTTGACGCTAAGCTAACGCCGAGCAGAGACAATGGATCATTGAGGCGTCAAGGACAAGTCGGTTCTCTCCCACACCTGTCCACACCAACTTATTTGATCAGCTCGGCTCAAGCTCACTGTGTCGGACACGAAACGACGACGAGCGGGACGGGATCAGCGGCGGCGTGAACAAACAGCAGCGACGAATGAGGACACGCAGAGTGAATTAACACAACTCAGAGCATGATCATGACTAAAGCTGAGCAATACAATATTCCAAAATGTGAAAAAAAAACATAGTTAAAGCTGTTGTAATTTGGTCAATCATTCAGTAAATTATGTTAGAATCAGTTTTGAGAAATGTCCAATGTCTAGGCAGCAGGTTACGGCCTCTTGGTTGAACTGATTGGTTGATATCTCACCAAAAACTGGGATAATATTTACCAGTTCCTCCTGGAAAACACTGATAATGCTGCATTGTGTTGTACTTGTGAAAACAGGCAAAAACAGCTGAGTAACAAATGAAAAAAACCAAAAAAACGAAGTGGAATGAGAAGCACGATGCCCGGCTCCTCTCTCACCTCACCTGTCCAAGGTTACAGATAATGGATGACACTGGCATCCCGTATCAAACGCTGGAAAGGTGCAGGGGGTTTCCAACGCTACCATCTGAGCTGCAGTTTGGACCACACCATGAATCCAGCTTAAAAGTTCAGGATGACACTACATGTTCATTTTGATATGCATCATTAGATTCAGACTAACTAGCTCGTGCAGTAGACGACTTGTCCAGGTGCTTTATTTTCTACTGTCAAATAAATATGCACCAGCTTGTGTTCTCTTTATTTATTCTACACCAGCTGCACAAGCGGTTACATAATTACGCCTTAAACATCAGTAATATTTCACTACATTCCCATCGCTGCTAAAAAAGGCTATTTTCCTTGCGTGCCGTGCAGCACATTCCCCGGTCTGCCCCTCCACAGCCTGCACCGGTGCCGGCCCAGCCGCGGCCAACGTGTGCCCAGATGAGATAACTCGGTGCAGGCAGGGGGGTGGGGGCGGGGGGGCACCAGGGAGAGCTGCCTCCTATGGAAAAGAGAGAAGCTGGAGCTCGGCCAAGTCTTTCTTCCTCGCCGCCTCCCGACTCACTCCTTCTGTCATGTAGCGGGCCTTATGAAACAAGTCAATACAGAGAAGGAGCGCAAGCAAACAAACAAATGAGTTGGAGAGTGTGTGTGTGTGTGTGTGTGTGTGTGTGTGTGCGCGTGCGTGCATAGAAGCACAGAAATAGAAGAATACACACACGTGTGTGTGGGGGGAAGAATTATCATGGAGAAAAGACGTGCAGTGACTTTCTTCATCAAAACCTTGGCAGGCGATCAGAGGAAGGAAAGCTATTGTTGGAAGACACCCTCCCCTTTCGCTGTGCACACAGGCAGCCGAATACACACTGTCAAACACACACAAACGCACACATCTTCTACCTTCCTCCCTCCCTCCCTCCACCTCCACACTCCTGCTTTCAAACTTCAGCAGAGAGTTGCGTGCCACTGTCACATCTTCTTTCCAAAGTCACAATTAAAGATGCCGAATGTGTGCACGTGTGAGTGTGTGTGTGCGAGCGTTCGAGGGTGAGGTGGCTGCTTCGGAAAAATTTTGATTGGCAAACTTTATCTGGGGGCCCCGAGGGACTGCGCAGCCACTGTAAACGATTTATCGGAAAAATGCATCCCAGAATGCACCTGGGGGGCTCGTGCCCCGGGGCGATTATTGAATGACCTCTGAGAGCGTGACTCCTGCTAACCTTCCCGCCCGTCAACAAATTAACTTCCCTCAGCAGTGAAGAGGTACCAGGACGACCCGCTCAGCAGCCACATTTACACAGCCGGGTTCAGGCACAGTGTCAAACCCAAAACAGAGGAGGAGCCTCTGAAGGGAGGAGGAGGAGGAGGTGAGGAAGGCCTGTAAGTTGTTCTCTATTCAGAAGCCTGGGCGAAGGTTTCGTTTGAATTTGAGGGCACCTATAAGCAGGAGATGTGGTTACATTTTGAGCATCATTCACTTTTGGTTAATGTCTACACACCATTTTGTACCTTTCATGTTGGAACTTTCTCTAATCATGTGAAGGAAAACTCACATTTTTTTGTGGGTTTGTGGCTTCTAGTGCTTTGTGGACAACAAATTGTATAATTTTGATGCCAAATATTTGCATCCTGCTTCTTAAATGTGATGATTTTCTATTTTTTTTCTGATTTATGTTGCTGCAAATTTAACATCTTGGGTTTTGAACTGTTGATTACAATCTGAAGACATCATCTTGGAATTAAGGAACTTGTTTTGGGCTTTTTCTTATGAAGTGAGCCAATCATGGAAGTAATAACAGATTCATTAATGAAGGAAATAAGTGGTGGTTGCATGTCTAATGATGGATTTTGGTTTCTATTGCACAATTATTCACGTATATTTTGATGTTAGTGAGATTTCAGTCATTGTTTTTGCAGTGGAACTTATTGTACGTACCCAGTCTGAATCTCAAGGCAGCTAGCGGTCCCCCATGGAAGGCCAGTGTCAGCATATCTGTCCCGTCTGGGCCTCCGTCCAGGCCACTCCCCCACTGCAGTCCCGCCAGGCCTCCAGAGCAGCGCAGGTGCTGAGCTAGTCTTAACGTGGCAGCTGAAGCTACCTCCTCGGCTACCAGAGCCACGCTCACAGGTGCCAAGCCCACATCAAAGCACATCAGCTCCTCCTGCCCCCCTCCCACCACGACAACAGCCCCAGCGGGGTGCCAGGCGAGGAGGGTGGGCGGCACGGGGCAGGAGGCCAGGAGAGAGACCCCCCGCCGCTGGTCGTAAAGGACTAAGGAGGAGTCGCTTAAGCCCAGGAGCAGCGTGGTCTCGGAGGGGTGACGGGAGCAGGAGATGGGGCGGGATGGGAGCGGGATGCGGGTGACGGACAGGCGGTGCAGACGTCCTCGTGAACATTCGTACGTGCAGGTGTCGGCCCAGGAACCTTCTCTGGATCCTGGAGGTCCTGCAGGTAGTTCTACGGTCAGCACCTGGTAGGGCTGCAGCAGGCTGAAGCGGCAATCCAGGGGGTGACCTTCAGTCCGGACAGAGCTGAGGACCTGAGGGAGTAAAAGTAGAGAAGAGAGAATGATTCAGAGAAGTTAGGCAGTTCACCTGATACACCTGAACCTCGTCCCCATGAATCTCACCCACAACAACACTCTTTTCTGGGTAGTAGCAGAAGATTCTCACTGAGGATGTTTAAATCCATCCAACCAGTTTGTAAAGCTTGGAAATAACTTTCTTAACTTCTACATTAGGGTCAGACTAGTAACGATGAGGCATTTCTTTGCATACTAGCATCATGGTTTTAGGAACAGCAGTGCCATCACCATGGTCCAGACTGAAAATCTTACACAGTCCTGAGATCCAACATGGCACCATGGATGTCTGCCCCTGTGCTCTCTGTTTTATCTTATTTTGTGGCCTGCAGGGAAAAATCTGCACATTCTTTTACTCTTTATTATCATTTAAAGTGCCCTGGATTTCCTCCACTTGCTGTTTATTTGTCCTTGTTTGTCTTGGAACACTTTCTGTCTGTTGACTTACAACACTTGCTTTTCTCTACTTGTTAGCATTTACTGTCAAGCACCAAACCACCACGTCAAACTCCCGGTATGGAAAAACCTTCAAAAAGAACAGGTTCTGATGAAATGTGGAACAGATATCCATGCTGTATAGAGGACAGGAATCTTCATGACTTTGTTGATCCCCTGACTTTTCCTTTAGTGCCCCCACGATGGAGACATGATGTGTTTTGGAATGAAACATCTCAACAACCAATAAGGCCATTTACATCTCTTCAGAATAAACTGTAATAACCTCTTCTGACTTATTTTAACTGGTACGATCATTTGTCCCGTACTGTCATTCTCATCTGCCTCATCTTTCCCTCATGTTTGATGTTAATTTGCAAACGTTAACATGTCAAAGAAAGATTCAAGGGTCTTTGTTGAGGAAAATTAAGGTAAACTTCCTTTTGTGAAGATGGAAAAAACATTTCTTTCACTTCCACCCAATACATATATCAAACTTAGATGAAGTCCATGTGTTCTGACTGTTCTGTTTTCGCTTCTGTGGAGATCCACCTTCAGTTACTGAGCGACTAAAGTTCCTTCTTGATACTGGAGTGTTTAGAGAGTGGATACCGTCACCAACATGTTCTTCTACTTCTGAGCTAAAAGACGTTGCTTTGCCCAGCACTGTTAATGAATAAACCTACTTTTGAATAAAAGAAGGATAAGAAAGCAGACAAAGACAGAGCAGGCGAGAGAAAGACGGAGACAGAGAAATTAGTCATACCATGGCAGCAGCCCCAAACCCCCCGGAGATGGAAGAAATAGAGACTTCCACACTGCTCATAAACACCCGGCTGTCAATCAAGACAGCTAATGATAAGAGCTCCGTTTTAACTCAAGGTCAACAACATCTTCTCCCTGAGCATGCCACGGCTTGGCACCCGCCGATAAACAACCTCCTCTGTTTACCTGAGTGAGGAGCCAAGAGCTCAACGCAAGACACAGCAAACGACAAGAAACGAGCCTTTTTCAGATCACATACGAAGAAATCTGGGGGATTATTTGAGCAGTGGTCAAATCTAGAATGCAGATTATTTGCTGGTCGCCCACAGCCAGTCGGTAGGAGTGGGCACAATGGTCCTGCTAAGAGAACAAGCGATGACATGGAGGGAGATAGGCCATGTCACGGGTGGCGCTGTCGATAAACACCCACCAGGAACCAAGAACAGTAGGTGGATGACAGGAGACAACAGGCTGTACTAAACAGCAGCCCAACACTTCCACAGTCACTAACAGAGCTTTTTAGGAGGGATTTCACCTTACCAAAGCCTCTATCAGAGCCCTGCATTGACCGTGGCAGCTTTGGCTAAATGAGCCCATTTCTTTTCGCCGTGTAGACAGAAAGAGGGATCGGCTGCTTGCCTGCCTTCCTTTCCTTTTGCAAAGCTGCTCGGCCCAGTTTTTTGGCAGGCATTGCCAAAAAGGGACTTAGAGGGAGGAAGGCAGTTTTTTTTTTCGTGTTTTTTTTTTTTTTTCCTGCCTGCCCATGGTCTACAGCAGGAGAGAAGCAGATGACTGTCCTCCTGAAAGCTTTTTTCCTCTCTATAATCCCCCAGAGCTAGCTCCTGCTGCTCCCCGGGGGGTGGGTGCTGCGTGTGAATGTGTGTGTTTATTTGAGGCAGCAGGCAAGAGGGGCTCAATTCATGTAAAAGGTGGCGTATCCTTGGGAGGGTGCAGTTCTACATTTCGGCAGGGACAAAGTGACACATGCATTAAATAGACTAGCGCACAAACACATAGCGGGCGAGGGTCCATCCCGCAGAATGCTGTCACAGGAATCACAAGACCCACTTCGATGCCACAAACCCTGACCCTCCCCAACCACATCTCATCCTCTCAGCTTTTCATCCCGTGCCCGGTTTGCTAGTGCCCGCTGCCCGCTGTGCCAGCATACGATCATGGCACCGTCGAGGGGGGGGGGATGAGGTGCAGCTGATTCAGCTCTGTGGCCCCTGACAGGTGACCCTCCAAGAGAAGGAAAAGAGGCACAGCGTCAGCTAAAGTTCAGAGGCAACAAGCAAGCACTGCCTGGACTGGTACCATCAGCAGTAGCCAAAGTTTCCAGGAGTTTTGGACTCACGCTCAAAAACGACGTATGCTGCGGGAGAACGAACGCACATTCAACCTACATCACGCTCGACTCGTGTTCACAGCTCAGTTCACTCATGTCATGCCATAGGTTGACTACAATTAGTCAATCTTACAGTAGAAATCAGATAAATTTAATGACATTTGCTTATTTTCACACTCAATCAATAACATCGATTTTCCGGCGAGACGGCTCAATACTTCAAATAATAGGCCTCAAACATCAGCGCATCGACTTGTGTGTACATACAGTCTATTATACAGTTGATTTACAGCTAGACTGACAGTTTATGAATCTATGAGGCTCTCTGCTCATATAATCAATATTTCATGAAGACATAATGAAGTATATGAAGACAGCACGAAATATAAAGTCATTCATTACAGTAGCTTCCAGGTCAGTTCAACGTCCTATTAGGAATGAAAATGTCTTTATAACTTTGCTTTGTCATGTATTTTAGATTTTTATAATGAATACTGACCACCTCGATGACACTATTCAGCTGAGTCACTTTAAAAACACTATTTTTCAATAAGCAGCACTTGATTATTAATTCACAGTTGTATTTTAATTTTAATTTTCTATATTCTGTGTTTATAAGACACTTTGCAACGGTCGCTCTGAAAGGTGCTTCATAAACAAGTGATTTATAAATTAGGCTTATGCACAAAATTCTAACATTTCGCTTGGTTTTGGTTTTGAGAGGACACAAGTTCTTTGACTGGAGCTTTGCACTTAGCGCAGATGTAATAACTTTGCCTTTGTTTTCCTCAACATGTGCCCGATTTGAGTGCAACAGTTCAGACATTCAACGCAGAATGCACTCAGCGACGACAGCGTTTTCTCACATTTACAGCCACCAGGTTGGCTTTTTGAATTTTGGTCATCTCTAAAGCCACACTCTTTTTTTTATTCTGTGTGGTGTGAGCTGAGGCAGGCCCCTGAAGGCAACACAGCTGATTAGGAGATTAAAGCCGACTCAGAACTTGCAGGGTTGCGGGTTTTGAATCTTTTTGGAGCCGTAAACTCTGAAACTGCAAACACTCGTGTTGCTGTTAAAATCTGACAAATGATGACACAGATTAGCTGCAGCTGACTGTATGATTTCTGCATTAAGATCTTAAACATGCAGTTACTTGTGTGATTTCTTTGGAGCGTAGTTTGACTACGACGTGTCACAAAAACACTCATTTGCACTCCATTTTAGAAACTCGACAGAATTTATAAGCCAAAACAACAGCAGGAAAGACTTCTGTAACACAGCGTACATGCGTCATTGTAAAATACACATAAAGCTTTGTTTGCCTGAGAACTCCCCAAAGCGTACTGTGGCATGTGAACGTACGGTATTCCCTAAATCTGAGAGCGCAAAATAAAAAACGAATGACGAATAAGGTCAAGCGAGGGAGAGAGCAAGTGAGTGAAGGGATGTACAAAAGACAGACGGAAAGAAAAGGATGCAGACAGACAGAAATATGCACAGACGATGATAAGAAAGAGAGGAAATGGAAAAGAATAAAAGGGACGGAGAGCAGAGGGAAAGAAAGTGGAGACATGAAGAGAAAGATGCAAAGAGAGCAGAGACGAGGAGAGAGAGGGAGACAGACAGACAGACAGAGAGAGAGAGGACCTCTAGTAAGTAGCTTTCTCCTGGTTATTGGTTTCAGTGACTGGTCAAAACTATTCTTCGCCATTCTTCTCCTCTCTCTCTCTCACCGGCACCTTTTCTCCCCCTCCGTGGCGTGAAAGATAAAGCGGACGGGCCCAACTGTGTGGCTGGCCCTTGTTCACAGCAGTGGCCTTTTGAAGCCAATTTTCCAGCTCACGGAGCAGAGAAAGACAGGGAGAGACGGATAGAGAGAGACGGAGGGACTTGGAGGAGAGTCGAGGGATGAGGGGTGCTGTGGAGGAGGAGGAGGAGGAGGATGAGGAGGAGGTGGCGGTGGTGGTGGTGAGGGGTTGGCCGGGTGGGACCGGGGAAGTTTTAGGTATGTGAATTAGGGTTAGAGTTGAAGTACTGATGTGAGAAAATGCACCGGCACAGCGGGATTACAAACCCAAATCTTCCTCACACCTTAGCGGTCATAACTGCTGCCACTAAACATAATTCTGGGAGGGAGGGAATATTATTCTGTACAGGCAGTGTTTTTTCCTGTGCGGTTTTTAAAAAGCAGTGGAGCTCGAGGGGTAATTCTGCACTTTGGATTCCACACATCGACCCTCTCGTGGTCCAAATTATTCTGCAGTGCTCTGCTGAAATGTGCTTTCTACTGTATATGCTTTAATTCTCCACGTAAAGACTCGAAATGTGTACGTTTGAGAAGCCAATTCAGCCATTTTACACCATTAACGTAGCTTCAAAACCTCCCCTAATCATAGGAACAAATGCAGAACAGATTATAGATTATTTCATTTCAATTATATACTCTTGCTTTATTCTTGAGTCAATAATAATCAAAAGACAGCAGCAATGACACAAATGCAGATCAAAAAGCTGCAGACAAACTGTCTGGTGACAGATAACAGGACAGTCATATGGTTAAAAAAAATAAAAACAACAACAGAAAAAAGTATGTTCACAAACAGCTAAAGAGACTTAACATGAAGAAACAAACAAACATTCATCTGGTGTTTCCTTTTCATTAAGATTATTAAATTCCAGGGAATGGCTTGTGTTTGTTTGCTGGGTGGGGGAGTGAAGGAGGGAAGCATGAAGGAAGGATCATTAAAAATGTTAACCGGCTGCATAAAACTAACTGTGTATGTTTGCCTCCCCCCTCGTTTGCGTGCCGTGGCTCCACTTATCAGCATGAGGAGGGGAGGGGAGAGGGGGGGGCATGCGAATTAAGACCACATAGGGAAAGAAATCAGACTTTTTTAAATGCCGAGAGACTGGCTAGAAAATTGGCTTAGTGCGGCAGATAGCGAACTGAACAAAAGGAACATATATATGAGCTTGAAGTGATTGAAGTAGCTGGCGTCGCCCGATGGGTGCCCGGCGTTTGATTCCCGCTACGGCTCTTACATAAACTGCTCGCTTAATTTCACACCGCGCATCTGAAAAATGACAACAAACGCTTTCATTAGAGCGCGATGCCGCAGCCCCACGAAGAGACTTTAATGTTCTTGAAGCGAGGAGGAAGGAAGGAGGAGAAGGAGGACGGTGGTGGTGGTGGTGGTGGTGGGGTGTGGAAAGAGACAGAGAGAATAAACTAGGTGAAGGAGTGTGATAAATGTGGAGAGCGTTCCAAAAACAAGAAGCAGAAAAAAGCAGCAAACAGCATCTGCTTTGATTATTTCAATATTCATGTGCCCCCCCACCTCCAATCCCTCCCTCATTCTCTGCTGCGTGAATTTGTTTCCCTAGCATGCGATTGGTAACGCTCATCTTTCCTCCCTCTCGCAGACTTCTCCCTCTCTGGTGTGGTGAGTATTTTGCATACGCTTACCGAGGTACGCGGTACGAGGAGTGGAGTTAAGCTCGGTTCGGTAATTTGGGATCTTTCATCTGCGTTTCGGCACGAGGCCAATCCTACATTGACACAGAATCGGGTCATGGGTAGGGTTTTTGCCAGAGGCCACGAGGATGTGCGTCTCAGCCTGCATGTGTGAGAGTGGGTGTGTAGGCGTTCTCCTTCACGCTGTACCACAGCTTAGCTCTCCCGCTTATTTCATATGGTGATGCATGGAGGTGCAACACAGAGGTACCACCCTTGAGGTGACTAACACACCATCCCCAATCCCATCCATGACAACACAGGTCTCTTCTCAGATCAGCAGCTTTGTCGCTTCTCTCACTATGTGTCTGGTAAGTGTGTGTGCCTGAGAGAGAGTGTAAAAAAAATAATATATAGCTGGAGTTATGATGTATGTTACTGGAAGGGGATTAATAAACCCGAAAAGTTAAGAATGTTTGACGCAGGAGCTCAATATTTAATTATTTGCTAGATTATTGTGTTTAGATTTAGTTTAGCTTGTCCTCAGTAAATAAAGAAAAGCTAAATTTAACGTGTTTTGTGCAAACGATAATCCATGTCTGTTAAATTTGAGCCACTTAAGGTGATTCAAAGTGCACCAAGCAGGTGAACGTTGTACTTAAGTCAAGAAAAGAGAAAATCAATTCCATGATTACAGCTGGCGTCACTTCCAACATGTGCTACTGTATCCTTTAAATTCCTAAATGAGCCAAATTATTAAAAAGTTTTGAAGAAAAAGCTCCTATTGTGCTGAACAGGTAGGCTAAAACTAATGTGTATTTTTATTGTTGAATATCTTGTTGATTGTTTTCCGGACAAAAATAAAAAATAAATTCTGTTTCCTAAAGTAAAAACACGGCATAATCACCTACCTACCTAAAAATATTCATCTTACTGTCATCGAAGAGTAAAGAAATCAGAGAATATTCACATTTAAGTACCTGCAATCAGAGAACTTAGACTTTTTTCCCCTTAAAAAAAGATGCATCAGCTGTCCAAATAACTGCTGATTAATTTATTAGTTGCAGTTAATCAACTTAATCAGCGCTAAACTTTAAACAACACACAAAGGCAACAACTCAACACATTTCAACGATGCTCTAATAATTCCACACTCATCCCCTCCCTGTGGTTTGTGCGTTTTATCCACTTCTCTGTGGCACTAGCTCAGACTAAGCAGCCCTGTGCTGCAGATCCTGGGAGATCTCACGGCGTTCCCAGGCCAGATGGGATATATAATCCCTACAGTGTGATTTGAGTCCATCATGGGATCTCATTTGGAAGTGCTAGAACTAATTCCAGAAGAGGAGTCTAGGAGGAATCCTGATCAAGAAGAAACAACTCCTTCTGGACGCTCAGACACTTTGTGGAAAACAGATTTTGGCTGCTTTACTCATTCGGTCTCTCCCTAGAAGTCACACCACCACCTGAAGGTTAAAACAAATCACAGGTCGACGGGAAACTGAGAGCTTTTCCTCTGACTAAGTTTCCTTTGCTTGCTACTGTACCAAAGTCAGTGCAATCACTGCACCAACCCACCTGCCGTGTCCATCTCTTGCTCCATCTTACAGCCAGTCGCCTGAGTGAGAGATACTTGAATTACTCCACTAAGGGAAGTAACTCGCTACCAAAACAGCCAAGGGAGCAATCCACCATTTTCTTCATTTATAGCTGAGGATACAGACACAGCTCTTGCTCCTGGCTTACAGGAACTCTGCCACCTGATATTCCCGCAGTAACCCCACAAGAATCCTGGCCATCATGAGGTTATAAACCTTTCTAAAGTCAACAACCACCTCACCAAGTGACAAACACACTCTTATCCAGCAACCTTTTCTGCTACTCTTATCCTTAGATCCAGAGCATCGGTGACTTAATTTAATCTTTAGAAGTGTGGTTCCATTTATTCATCTTGTCTTTGGATCAGACTTTGTTTGATTGTTGGTTTGTGCTGTTCTGCTGTACTTTCATTTTGGTGCTTCTGCTGAATTTACCTTCTAAAAAAACTAACAAAAGGTTGAAGCTTCTATGTTTTAGTAAGAATTATGTACAAGCTTTGTGTGTGTCGTGTGTGAGAAAATATAATTTATTTGTCTTTGTGGTGTATTTATAACCAGGAGTCCTGAGTCACCAGTGACTGAACGGTCCAGATACAGGTGTTCTTATAGACAGTCACTAGAGACACATTCACTGCACTCAGATCGTCTCCGTTTCACTAATTGTGTGACTTCTAGCACCGATTGGCTGCCCTGTAGTGAACTGAATGAGCCACTTTTAAACAGATGAATACTTATGCACGTACTCATGTTACAGTTAATATTTTTAATTACTTACTTGTCTTTTTTTCCCCCAAATTCTTTAAGAAAACCAACTTAAATTGCCTCAAAGTTTAAAATGCATCAAGAGGAGCAAACGTCCAGTGACTATTTTTATAGGCGCTGTGTGTACGTGTTTGTGCACCTTGAGGCCTTCGGTAGGAGAGCAGCTGAGCAGAGCCAGGTTGTTCCTCTGCGTGTTGGTGGGAGTCCAGGGCCACGGCTCCTCACCGGGTTCGTCCAGGTTCCACCAGCAGAGCGCCACGTCCTGGAGACGGTTGAGGCTCACGTGTCTGTGGAGTCTTCGACCTCGTCCGCCCACCTCCACGGACATCACCTGGACGCAGAAACACACGAAAAGAGGACGATCGCGCACTGAGGAAGAGTCGGAACGGTCGGAAAACAGAGATCCTACAGCGTTAATACACATCTTCTGAAGAAGGGCAAGTTAGCATCTTAGTGATTCATCAATTTGGATTCACCTTCCTGGCCTGTTTGAACACCTGAGGGCTCTGACACTTGCACATCTGTAGCCCCAGATATCTCTGCTGTCCTTCCCCGATTCCTGTTTTTGTTGATGTCTGAGGTTGTTTTTTATCTTCCATTATTAATGTCTGTGTGCGTTTTGTTCTGTCGGGCTTGTTGTTTTAGTGATGTGCATATTTTTGGGAAGGTTCGCCACGCTCTACGGGCCACAACAAAGAGACGCACAGTAATGAGCTCTCGTGGCGCTTGGGGGGGTACACGCTCACACGGACAGACACACACGCATGAACACGTGCATGTATGTACACAAACACACGTGTACATACATGCAAAGGATATGAAAGTGTGTGTAAGCACAGTTTTATAGGCTCACACACACCGTTAGACAAACAGCGCTCTGCTCAGAAGCACTTTTAAAGCAGGTGAAATTGCGGGTCTTACACTGTGACCCTGCCTTTCATGTACACCGCAGCTCATTCCCTACACACACACACACACATATTCACACACTCTTTATCTCCAGTCACACTCACTAACACAATGAACCAGAGTCGATGGCTAACATGCACACATTACCACACACACTCTCACGTCCGTGACCTCCGTCGCGGTGCAGAGGAGTGGCAGATAGAGGGAGGACAGAGGTGAAGGAGGCAGAAGAGAGAAGAATAAAGGGCGATAATGAAGAAAAAAGCTGATTGTTTGGGTTTGGAAAGACGAGTAAGGAAGAGGGGAAAAAGAGGTGGTGGCTGCTTTTATGCACCGCAGCTTCAGGGAAATGGGAATAAAGGAATAAAACATGGTTGGATTAATAAATGAATGAATGAATGAAGGAAGGAAGGACAAAACAAAATGCACACATAAAAAGGAAAAAAAAAAATAATTGGAATTTTCGCAATAGATCAATGAGAGGTTTGTAACAAAATATACAGGAAAAGAGCAGTCAGTTGTGACACCGAAATCCCACCAAATAGGCGTGTTGTCAGCAACGCAGGGGTGTCTCTTTAGAAATTAATTAATAAAAACATGCCTCGGCACAAAAAGAAATGGGCTCAAAGTCCAGAGACATGAGGAAATTAGTAAATCGACAAGCTGTACTGTATGAGTAGAGTAGATTTGAGATTCAGTGGTCCATGTCTGCCCTCGTTGCCCCCTTGGGGGGGAAATTTGCTTTGGACACAGAATACGCCTGAAAATGATGGAGCTACATTTGATGATAAAGGGAACAAAGAGTTGCCCCAAACAGCTGAACGGGAGATCACTGACAGATTAGAAATGGAAAAGAAGAAAAAAAATCAGAAAATCACTGGGTTAATAACACACTCTATCTCTACCCCCTGTATGCCCCCTCCATCCCTACCCATCTCCTCGCTCTTCTAGGTTTTTTTTTCTGCTGGCGTTTGCTGGTCAGCAATAATCAAAAACCACTTTCTGTGGGCCGGATTAGTTTAGCCCCCCCCTCAACGCCCCCTACTCTCCCTTCTCCAGCTTAGCCCACTGGACCAGGGCGATGTGTACGTGTGTGTGCATGTGTGTGTTTGTTGTGGGGGATGGGTTGTGGGGCGTGCACACGTGTGCGTATGCTGCAGGTTGCATGCGTGCGCGTGCGCGTGCATTGACAGGGTGTGCGGGGCGTACAATATGGAGTGGTGGTAGTGATGGGGGGGATGTCTTATCAGGACTGTGCTTCTGGAGACAGACGCACGGCAGGAACGATTGCTTTCACGCACACACATCAACATGGCCGCGCGCACACACCCACACACACCTCAACAAAAGGGCCTGGCAGTAATGTGATAATGCCAGGGTTAGCAGTTAGCCAGCTAGTGAAGGAGGACACAGTGTAGTTTTGTTTTGTGGGAAGAACGGGGACGCACATAATCAGACCTTTTACTGACACCTACAAAAACACCTCCAGATCACACTCGGCTCAACACACGCTTGTATAAGAGATTAATAGACGGGAACAGGAAAATCGCAGCGACTGAGACGCAGTCTGAACATAAAGGCTGCATTACCACGACCATTATATTATATTCAGACCTACAGATCCAATCAGGAGTTAAATAAATAACGACTGCTCTGCCAAACACTCACACCAACTGGTTGGACCTGAGTGGCAACTAGCAACTCAGTTTAATTTAATTTAATCTATTTACTTTTACATCTACAGAATCTAGAACCATCTACACCTTTGCACCTATTACCTTTTGCATCTTGTATGTTTTTACTGAACCTACACATTTTATATATAACTGCACCTTGTATGTACTTAAAAAAAAAACCTTTTCTTACAATTCTTTATACACCAAATAAGCTGTCCTTACAAGAATAGGCTATCCCACTGATTTTATAATTGCACATCTCCTACTGTACTTTTAAAAATGTTGCCTGATTTTGTGATTGCACTGAGAGGATTGATGCTTAATTTCATAGTACACTGTGCTACGACAATAAAATAATTCTCTTCTATTCTAGCAGTAGACCAAATAGATAGGAAACAAACATAGCTAAACAGTTAGCAACATTCCCGCTAAATTTAAGCAGTCTTTTGGGGTTGCTGTAAAGTTTACATGCAAATAACACGAGTTAAAAAAGTAGTCATTTTGTAGAACATAATGGTCAGGCTGCACCTCGTTATCATTTCGCTATATGTGGGAAAAAAAACACTCTGGTTTGTTTGTGTTTCTTCCAACCAATCACAGTCGTCGTGGGCAGGGCTGAGGGAAGGATGTGGCTTCAGTGTTTACTCAGAATAATGATGGGTGGAATTATTGTGGTGGGACTTTTGCATGCAGGAAAATGAGCACTGATAATTTCACCCCAAAAAACCTTGACATTTTCAGAGGTTGTTGTTTAACAAGAAAACAGCAACACAGAGATAGAACGGTGAAATGAGTGGTGGCTTACACCTGCATCCTACATCCAGTAGTAGAAAGTGATGTAGTTAAAGTACTCGCTTGCATGTATGCTGAAGTGACTCTAGTTTTCTTTACAGCCCATTCTCTGAGCAGCCTTCCCTCTCTCACTGACGGTCACAGGGAGAAGGTCAATAACACAGCAAGCACCCAGCAGGCTCCTGCACCTGCTAAACTTCAACTCAAACAGACTGAAAGGTTTTTTATAATAATAGTTTCATAGTTTTTTTTTTTACAATGGAAATTCCTATCTGGCACTGACTGAAAGAACATGAACTGTTTCCAGGTTTTACTTTATCTCAATCAGGAAAAGTATCTGAATGAATGTGAAACTCATCCAAGAAAAACATTTTGGAAATGTTGCCCATCAGGTTGGATGAAGAAAGAAGCCGGACTCTCACACAGGACGACATGTTAACACTTTTGTTTTTTTGCCTGTGCCTTCGTTTGGTGTCCTTCTTCTTTATACCTCTCTCTCTCTTGCACACAAGCACAGTTAAGCGCACACGTTACTCATGCACACACTCCATCAATGAGCTCCACTGTACCTTGATTTCAGAGGGTGAGAGTTTGTCTGTTCGCCTGCCAGTCTCTGGGGAGTCCTGGTTCTTTCTGTTCAGGTAGACTGCAGCCACTTGGCTCTGCTCCAGGAAGGACAGCAGAATCAGCCTCTCGCTCAGCACCGCTGGGAACGACAGCGACGACCAGTTAATGTCAGGATTCACAACAAAAAAACACAAAAACAACTCCGAACTGTTGAGGTCGACCTTTTAGATTTGCACTATTCTATCTTGCACATCCAAACATGAACACACACACTGACTGCTATAGTTTTCACTTGGAAATTAAAAATGAGGACACATGGTAAGATGTGGTTAAATCAGGAATAAAAGACAATCATGATGTTTTTATATTCTGAAAGCATCTCAGTTGCATCAAAGGGAGACGTAACTCACACAGAGGCCACAGAAAACGTCACCGACAGATTCCAGTTTGAATGAGGCCAATCTGGGACAAACTAGTGGTTTAATTAACTTCATAACAGACTTTCTGGATTCCTGCCAATGGGCGACAACATTAAAACCACCAGCCTAATATTGTGCAGGTTCCCCTCATGCCGTCAACCCAATCAGGACATGTGGTTTCTGGCACCAGAATCATGGCAGTGGGTCCTTTGGGTGATATGAGTTATAGGATTTTAGGGACCAGGTTTGTTCTGGTGACTTCTGTGGATGCTAGGTCAGACTGAGATCCAGGGAGTTTGGAGATTGGGTCGATGCTTTGAGCTCTTTGTCGTGTTCCTCAAGCCGTTCCTGAGCAGCTGCAATGTGTTC